GTCGCGCTAAATCACGAACTGGTAGAAGTTAGAATTCATGGGTTGGCCATTGAATTGGGTCCCAGTGAATTGGTGAATGGTATACAAGCTCGCTGGCCTTGTAACCGGAAGGTCTTGGGTTCGAACCCTATCGGTGGGTGCGTATTTCCGATGATTCCCAAACTACGATGAAACAGCAGCTGTCCAGTACTCCACTGCTGGGTTTCAATGCTTCTCTAACTGATATCGATCCGTGATCAACTCGTAAAAAATATTGTTCATTAATTTTATTTCTTTGTTAATCAAAAATCACGTAACTAGCATATATATTGGAATTTTCTGTGTGCGTATATATAATGAACTTTTAGGTTGCATCTGGCTGAAAATAAACCAATGAAATAACTGATGATAAATAGTGAATATATTAAATATTCCCATAGTAAAATTAAGAACAACACATTTAAGCGAAAAATATTGGCTTCAGTCAGATCTCATCAGGCTCAAATATACATAAGTGCATAAGTAAAAATTCAAATATAAATCAATCATGGTGTTTTGTCTATAGGATAATAAGATGGTGAATATAAATTGTGCTGAAAATTCCATACTCGTACCAAAATTGTGGTGTGGAATCAAGCTGTAATCAAAATTAAAATAAGATAAATAATAGTAGTAATGATAACAATAATAATAATAATAATGATTTTATCAATAATAAGGATGAAAAAGTGAGGCAATCTGTGATAACACGAATAATGAAAAACAGTATGATTAAAAAAACAAATGTTCAGGTAGAAGTTGTAGTCGATAAAGGCCAAGAAATATAAATAAACCGATTACGTAATTCTAGATTGTAATGGAAGTAAGTGAAACACGTTTATAATGAAGATGTGATAAGATTAAGTAAGGGATGATAAGAGAGGGTTTGAATATATAATCAGGTAAGGGGTGGTGTACAAGTCACCCAGGAAATGGAGTTTTTTCTCCTGCACCTTTTAACAAGGAAAAGTAAGTGAAGGGTGGACATTGTTGAACGTCAGCAGTCTGTCTTCGTGTCTTCTTGCTTTGATCGTTCGGTGGTATCCTGTCATGTCGTTGTTTTTGCTAATAGTGATTAGAAGAGTAGGCTGGTATATCATCAAGTTAAGGATTTCGCTCCACGCAGAATTACCAAGTGTATTACCGTCCATAACACAATTCTGCAATGTAGCCACTAGGCTAGGTGTGTCGACTCTGGATCGGTGTAAGATTGTTCGTGGCAATCTGTATGTAACCTTAAACATAGGTTTCGTGACTAACGTTACAACTTCGAAGCAGTCGGTACCTTATCCTAGACTCAAATCAGTGTCAGCCGCATTCTTTAGTCAGAGACTTTAACAGTGGGTTGTTCAAGATCAACGAATGTCAATAAGTACGAAACCTACGTAAATATTATAATGTGAACAATAATTTACTGGGTATCATTGAATACTGAGTTGAAGTCATCTTCGTAAAGGTATTTATTGTTCAATCGGCCGAACTTTAAGCCAAAAGTAATTTCATCAATATCTCTTTTTTTCCCATATCGTAACCAGGAAATTTCATACCAGGTCACATTTATGGTCGTTTCCACATTGTTGAGGATCTATTAAGCATAAAATGAGCGGTTATTAACCGCCTTGTTTTTACTATTCCTCTTGAGATGTTGTCATTCAAAATAAGTTGATCATTCATTCATTTAAAAAAGTATATGTAACTCACACTTTGATATATATTTGAATAGATTCTGAAAATTCGATAGTAACTAGTGTTTTGCTTCTAGTCTTCTGTTTGGTGCAGACTGAACTCAGTCAGTCATGTTTACAATGTGGACACTATGATAGATGTCATGACATTCGGGTGCACGGTGAGTTGGTGACAAAGCGGTTAGGACGCTCGTCGACCCTGCACAAGGTCCGCGGTTCGATGCCCGGCCGACACACACCTGGTATCAGTGGCCGGCCTGCTGAATTCTGGCTACCAATATCACATGTTGAATATTCCATAGTTGTACCAAGGTAATGTGTGGAATGAAGCTATAATCAGAACTGTGCGTCGGTGGTACAGTGGTTAGGACTCTCGACGACCATGCACATGGTCCGGGGTTCGAGCCCACACCGGCTCACACCTGATATCTATGGTTGGCCTGCAAAATTTGGGCTACCGATATCCACACTGAAAATTCCATACTTGTACCAAAAATACAGTGTGGAATCAAGCTGTTACCAAAAATTTAAAAAAATTAAAAAAAGTGTTCTCATTAGATGGGGGTAGGCAGTCGGCAGGAAGCCTGACATAATATTCGTGCTTGCTGGTACTTTTTGTGATTGCAGCTTGTTGGTACTCGTTGGTCAGCAAGACGTAACTACATTCTTGAGGAAACTTATGCCTTGTCTGAGATTCACACTCGCTTCAACCAGTACTTTAGTCAGAGATGTTACCACCAAGATGTTATATCACGTGGTTGACTTCCTGCACGACTGTAGAGGATAATTTACCTGGACACATGTTAGCAGCTATTATCACGTGTCTAGTCATTTGCTCGGTGTAGACTGGATCCTATCACTCGTTCGTATCTCACACAGTCGTACAGGACTTCAACCGCGAGCCATAACAGCTCAGCGACAATGTCTCTGACCTCAGCATTGGTTGACGTGGGATTGAATTACAGTAGGAAAATGAGTTTCTTCAAGATTACAGATACGCCCTGCAGACTGATAAGTGCCAACAAGCACGAAAACTAGTTAAGGCTTCCCAACCAACTGCCTACAACCATCTTATGACACAATATAGAGGTTTGTTGAGATCCACTGCAAATTCTTCAACTTTAGTCTTGCAGATGAAACGTCTCACATTTCAGAATGTAAGTTCACAGGAACTTATTTCGAATACACAAAACAAATTTTCTTAGCTGCAAACTTCAACTTGTAAATTGAATTAAAGCTTCAATTATATTCTCGCTTAATTGTATATAAGTATTATTGTCCAGAATTATCAATTTATATGATTATTATTTAAACAGTATAATCAATCTAGCGTTAAATTTGATCAAAGAGAATTTACAATGATTCAAAATAAAGAAGAGAATCAGTATTCAAAGATACTAAGAATGGAGAAAAAAGCAGTGTGTAACGTGTTCGTAGCTAACAAAAAGCATCCACAGAAGATAATTCTAGCTGATTATTTAGTCATCTTTTCACAAACAGTTACAGTATATATATTTTGATTTCTTGTTTCAATGTGTTTCGATGCAATTAAGACACTAGAAATCACAAAAAATTATCTCGACGACGTTGAGAGTGATAACAAGGTTCAGTGACTTAATCCACGAAGAAGATCTCTATCACTTAGGAAACTAGATGATTCTGTGGTTATTTATCAATTGACGTAAAAGGGTGTAAGCATGGATATTTCCCAGATAATCTGTGAAAAGTTTTCGTCCATTTTTCGACACAGCAAGAAAGAGTCAGCTTATGGGAAGGAAAGTAGATGCTAGCATAATTACGGGCGTAAGCGGTAACGAAAGGTTGAGATATACAGGGTGTGAGAGAACGAAGAAGAATGTTTTAAATAGAGTTTGCAAGGAAGAAAGAAACAAATCTGCACATAACAGAGAAAAGAAGAAGAGAGAGAAAAGGAAAAGAAAGAAAAAACGTTGTACCTATAAATGATGTGAGTTGGAAAAACGAGATCCAGTTGTTCTACTGACTATTTAATAAGTTAAGACTTTCACGCCTAATGCTTTCTTTATCGCACAGAACACGAGCTAAGTAGGATATGGTTGAGTCTTTGTACTTACTAGTGCTGGCGTATAGTTTTCTATGTAGGCTTCTGGTTTAGCCTGATGAGATACAAGGGGAGATTTGTGAATGAGGAGGGTGGTTGTGTGAGTTAGATAAAACGGATTTAGCCCATTTTTCACATGAGTCCATGTGCCTGTCAACCAGAATATTAACAAGCTGGTTAAGTAGCAGATTGCTTACCCTGCTGACAACCTTTGACATTCTGCGTAATAAGGTATAGTCCTTCTTCAGTAGCCAGAGCTGGAAAAACTAAGTGGGAACAATAGAGAATAATAGACAGGATACAAAATTAACGAATTGTAGGGGTAAGGGTTGAGTTATACGAGAATGTCTTAACGTCTTGATGTAGAAGGTAAGACGGAATATTTTCTTAGAAATCATCAAGATATGAGACGACCAGGAAAGATCAGCAGATAGAATGACGCCTAGATATTTAATTTTGACTTGGTTACTATTTCAGTACCATCTGTGTTGCACACCTCGTGAGTGTGAACCAGTTTGTTTAGGCCAGACTTATGCCCAAAGGTGAAGTTGACTGTTTGGCATTTGGAGGGGTTTTAGGCAAGCCCGTTTTCCTTGGACCATTGGCTGATTTCTGATAAAAAGCCATTTAGTTTGGTGCAGTCACTTTGACATTTGACAGGTAAAGATACAGTTAGGTCATCAGCATATTTGACAAAATTAATGTCATTTGAAGATGGCAAGTCATGTAGAAAGAAAGAAAGGAAAAAGAAGTGGGGAGAGTACAGAACCAGCTACAGTGAGCATAGTAGAGCAGGATTTACCTTTGTATGCTGTGTACTACATTCTGTTTGAGAAGTAGGAATGCAACCAGTTAGTGACCCAGGATTCAGTTTGTGTCATCGCGACCTTATTTAGCAAGAGACATCTAGGCACGGAGTCGAAAGCAGAAGTGAAGTCGAGAAACGCGCAGCGGACTTAATGCAAATATGGTCGCCTTTTTGATTATCATTAATGATATCAAGCAGGTCTTGTATTGTGATCTAAATAATTTGCTTCCTGAATGAAAACGTGTTGAAAACTTCCCCCTTGGAACTATTTACACCTGCGAATCGTTATATTAATTTGCAGATTTTGAATGCAATTTAATGCCTTCAATTTTAGTTCTATATTTTCCAAAAATGTCGGCCTAATTTTGTCTAATTTCGTCTTTTCAAAATATTTTTTTTATTTACCTAGATGGTGTTCTAACTATATCCAAAGATGTCAGGAATACTGATCATGTCTTCCTAATACTAACTTGTGCATATCGTTATGGTAGAGATGACTTAGATGTGCTGGGTTTAACCTTTCAAAAGGAGATATTAATTTATACCCAGCATTTATGGCCAACACATGTTGTGCATGAAACAGAATCACAAACTGGTGATGTGAAATGGCATAAAAAATGGAGGCGATTAAAACGTAATAAGAAAAAGAAAACTGATACAACAACAACAACAACGACCGCAACAGCAGCAACTGCAGAAGAAGAAATGAAATATAATCAGATAAATAATGAACCTTTTGGAATATTCAGTCAATCATTGAAAGATTCTGATTTATCACCTTTCCAGGCAAGATTGAAGGCTAAATACACTGAACAGGCTGTACCATTTCGTGTAATTGTAAGTAGTATTTAATATTTCTATTTCTATTTTTTCCCCTATACTGGTAATGATAATGTAACCTATTTAATTGAATTTTAGATTTTCCTGGTCGATTGATTGGACCGAATTGCTAGGTCTCAGGTTGACATGTCGGCTTCTTGTGCAGATGCTTCGACGATGTCTGAGCATGTAATTAGAATTGAAATGGTGGATGCTGACTAGCAGTGGAATCCAGGATGCGCATTTTGTCCTATTTAAGACTCGTCAACTGGATGTACCTGCATTCCCTAGTGAGTGAGTGAGTGATGGTGTTACCACTGAGGCTCGGACCTAGTGCCCATAGTTTCAAATGTCAAGGCGTTATCCTTTAGACCACTTGAGCCAAGAGAGACACCTCTTGTGCAACGGGTCATATTAATTTAATTGAATTTTAGATTTTCCCGTCGATGGTGGTGGTGGTCTAATGGATCAGGCCTTGGCGTTTAAGACTATGGGCACTGGGTTCGAGCATCAGTGGAAACACCATCACTCACTGAAAAATCTAGGTACATGTAGCTGACGAGTCCAAAATAGGATAAAATTTGAATCCTGGATTCCACTGCTAGTCATCACCTGCCAATTAAATAATAATGTAACCTACTTTAAATTAAATCACAGAAGAGTAATTTAAACGATTGAAAGACTTAGCCCAGTTTTAGCAGGTGTTTTCATGTCCAACCATCTTTGAAAAAACAAAGTTGAAGCATGCCATCGAAGAAACAACCTCTTATTGTTGATATGTTGATGACATATTTGTACTGTGCTTCAATGCAAGTCATGCTTCCCTCCTACTCGGATTGTTCAACAACGCAAATACAAATATTTAATTTCCTATGGAACATGAAAATGATGAAAAGTTTCATTTCCTTGACATTGCCATGCAACGTGTGGAAAATGGTTGTCTCCAGAGGTCAATTAACCGAAAGCCAACTTGGAATGGACAATACTTACATTTTAATAGTTTTTGTCTAAATAGCTATAAACGAGCACTAGTCATGACTGTGTACTATAGACCTAAGAGAATATGCTTTACGGAGAAATGACAGAAAGAATTAATGATTCTCAAAAAGATATTAAAAAGCAACGGTTACCCTCAGGAACTCATCAACAAATATGGAAGACGTAAAGGCTCAAACATCAAACAAATCACAGTGGGAAGAAAAGCTTCACTTTATTCAGTTTGATTTTAAAGGTGAAAATATTGCATCAATAGTTAACTAAAAGTTGGGTAAGTCACTAGCCAGAGCCTATCCTACAGCTAAGTTGCTTCCCATCTATAGGACAATATGCTCTTTGGTGCAGTCAAAAGTCGACAGATAACCTTTTCATGTTAACTCCGACCGTGTATGTAAATTTTCTTGTATCTGCGAGGGCATTTGCACTGGGAGAACCGAAAGAATGACTTACCTCTGGTTTTCTGAGCATGAACATAAAAGCCTATGTCTCTAGGAAATAGACGCTTACAGTAGCACCGATATCAGGCATCGCCTTGATATGAGTCATGAGATGGAAATTCTTAAATCTTTTTAAATTATCATCAGACTGAAAAAGCTCAATTTTCCTCATGCTTACCAAAGGAATTTCCATCCATCTTCTGAAAGCCGATTCTTATGTTCAGAAAGAAGCAGTTAGCAGTCCTTCCTCGCCATCCTGATAACAGGATATCTTTAATCCGTCTTTCATTTGATTGAGTAATCTTTGACTTTAACCACAAACTCTCTTTGGATAAAGTGTAATTTCGCTTACCTCTTGTCTCTATTATTCGAATTTAACGTAGTACATTGTTACTTAGTTTTTTGTGTTGTTCATCATAGTACTCACCTCTCGTCCTAATTGGGTAACTACTTCACCATTGTATGCATACATTTATTGTGTTTAGACTTGAACTGCCTGTGTAAAAACTACATAAGCGTGATTTTATCAGCACAGTTCACTGCGTCCGGAACCTCTTGTCAAATGACATCATGTAAAATTCACAAGTATGTTAAAAATTTTCTGTAGATGAACCTTATAGTAATAATTTGCTTAAGCTGCAAGCAGCTGATGAGAAGCCAACGACATAGGTGAAGGTAGTTTAATATTCTGCATAAACAACTGTTGTCTTTTGCTTTATTCACAATCCTTTTATGATAATTATACAACATGGTTTAAGCAAGTAAATACGTATTCTAAGTAAATTCTCATCAGGCTTCATTGTTACATAATAAAATATTAGTAATAGATATTGAAAACAATGTGGATCAATAGAATGAAATGCAATCAAGTAGAATGTGTCTATTAGTATGAGTAGAGGGGGAAGTAACTATTTTCACATGATTAGCTTAACAAAAAATATATCTGTTTACGAGTTGATCACGGATCGATATCAGTTAAAGAAGCATTGAAAACCAGCAGTGGAGTACTGGACAGCTGCTGTTTCATCCTAGTTTGGGAATCATCGTCAGTACGCACCCACTACAAGGGATTCGAACCCAGGACCTTTGGGTTACAACTCAAGCTCGTATACCATTCAGCCTTATATCAATCCGTGATCAACTCGTAAAAACATAACAAACCCTTACAAACCAAACTATAAAAAATATATCATCAAGTGGGTGGTGTAGCTACGCAGCTCCTGAAGAGTCCTGTCTTAGTCTATATTTTTAAGGCGAAATGGGAGAATCGTCTATTCGAAAGTGTAATCGTTGAACTCTCGTTCTACTGTGGATGGTTGGGCGATATTCCTAATCCAGAAAACAAATAGTTAGAGCGAATAATTGCCTTCAACTAATTCTTCTTCAGCCTCTACAATTATATAAATCCATTAATTTAAGCATCGAGCAGTCAGTAAAGACAAATTAGAATCATACCTGAAATAAACTGTCGAATAAGTATAAGATGGAATGAAAAACATTCAGTTAGTTTCGAATATCCTTCGTTGATGAGAACATGAGGTGAAATTTTCTCATAATTTGCATGCGTATTTATATATGCACTCAACAATTGTACAGGTTTCGAGGGGTGGGTGTAATCAGTGGGGTGTCAGACAATACGAATACTACAACAAAATAAACCAACTAATGGGTGGACTAGATATAAGTTCAAGGGTGGAAATAATGACAACTTGCAACTTTTACTCACTCAAAATGGTCCATTTCTAACAAAGTTTTTTTCAAATTCTCGAATGACTACATTGATTGCATCACTGTGAGATGTCGCCCGAAACACCTGCCAAAATACAAATTCATTTATATTTCTAATGTTTATGTCTCTCCTGGCTGTACCATATTGGATTTATCTATGTTCGTTGATGAATTCACCGCTTTTGCTGCAGCTTGCTTCGAGAACTCTTTATCAATAGTAACTGGCGACTTTAATTCATGCGATCACTCCTTCCTTATATCACTTGGTCATGACAATATTGTTAACTTTGCCACCCGTCTTGGTAAAACACTGGATCTAGTATTCATCAATGATGTTGGTATATATGAAGCTCGCAAACGTGCTCCTTTACTTAACTCTGACCACTGCATCATACGTGTACTGCCTAAAATATATTCCAAATCACACAAAGGTGTCCTCTCTCACCTCTACAGTAAAGTTCAACGGAGATGCTACTCAAAGACAACCTAGACAAGCTCAGATGCATGTTGAAAGACACTAACTGGGACTTATTTACAGAACAAACATTAGATGAAACAATCACAAACACTACCGATTATCTTAAATTCTGTTTCGAAATATGTTGTCCTAAAGAAACATTATTCATTCGATTTGATCGCTTATCTTCGCCATATCTCAAAAAGCTACGTAGATAAAGAACTGTTGTTCAAAACAAATGATAAGCCTGGTGTAAAAAAGTTAAACATTCTGATAAAACTGGAAATGAAAAGACTAAATGTTTTATATAATCAAAGATTTTTGTCATGTAAAACCCCTTCTAATTTATGGAAACTTTTCAAAGAAATTACTAACGGTAAGCGATGTATTTCTGTTCCATCTCTTAATGTTGACACTCTTAATAAATCTTTCATACGCTCTTCTGTTGATACCCTTCCAAATGATACAAATCATATTGACAATAACTTTAGTGGTTTTAATACCCTTGATGTGCTTAAATGTCTCCGGTCTCTTAAGCCTTCTCAAAGCCTTGGTCCTGACGGCATACCTGCCATTGTCCTCAGGAATTGTGCTGATATTTTGTGTTATCCTCTTACTAACATTTTTAATGCCTCTTTTTCCGGTAACGTTCTACCTTTTGCATGGAAAAACATTAAAATTATCCCTATACCAAAACCATCTTCTGGTTCTGATATTAAATTTCGGCCTATTGCAATTACTTCCCCCTTTTTAAAATTGATGGAAAAATTACTTTTACTTCGTCTTGAACCCGCTTTGAAACCTTTTAATGATCCTAAACAATTTGCATACAAACATGGTAGAAGTACCTTGGATGCTGCGGTTGTCTTATATCACAATGTTGTCTCTTGTTTAGACAAAGGTGCTAAATATGTTCGTAGTGCTTTCTTAGACTACACATCTGCTTTTGACTCTGTACCTAGGGGCCTTTTATTAAATAAGCTATCGTTGACACAAACAGGATCCTGGGCTAAGAGTTGGTTGCATTCCTATTTTTCTGATAGAATGCAGTATACTGTATATAACGGCAAATCTTCTTCTACCTCGCTTACAAAATCCGGTGTTCCACAAGGTGCTGTCCTCTCTCCTTTTCTTTTTTCTTTCTTCCTACATGACCTGCCTCATTCAAACGAAACTAACTTTGTCAAATATGCAGATGATCTGACTGTATCACTGCCTATCACTTCCGAGTCTGACAGCTCCAAACTTAATAGCTTTCTGTTGGACATCAACAAGTGGTCCAAGTCAAATGGTCTTATATTAAATCCTTCCAAATGTCAGGCTTGACTTTACTTTCAAGCATCGACGTGACTTACTTGAACTAGTTAACTCGCATGATCCCTGTAGCATAGATGGCACGGAAATTGAAACCAAATCAAGCATTAAATACCTTGGATAGTTTTTTCCTCTGACCTTTCATGGTCATCCCATATATTATCTATCTCTAAGAAAATGTTTCGTCTTACCTTCTACATTAAAAAGTTAAGACAATCAGGTATCAACCAACCTTTAGTTTTGCAATTTTTAAACTCCTGTATTTTACCTATTGTACTCTATTGCTCTCCATTAATCTTTCCTGGGCTTTTCAAAAAAGATTATATCATATTACGAAGAGTATTAAATGCTGTGAGTAGGGCTTGTGGTCTGCCACTGCATGAGCTCGCCAATACTTTAGTCGAGAGGCATATAAATTCCTGTACAAAATGGGCAAAGGCGTACTGTCAGACCCTCTGCACCCCCTTTATTCACACCTGTCCCCTTGTATCTCATCAGGTAGGACGAGAAGTCAATATAAAAAGTTATATGCTCGTACCACTAAGTACAGAAATTCTACAATACCCTATTTAGCCCCTATTTTATGTGACGAAGACTCTGTTAGACGTGAAACACAGAGGTTACTATGTAATTAACAAGGTGAATCGACCCTTTCATCGTTCCTTCATCTTTCTGTAATTTTATGGTGTCACACACACTTTCTATCGTTTAATGATTACTCTGCTATTTTATTTTGGATGTTATTACTTTTATTACTACAATTTTATACTTGATGCATATTTTTCTCCGTATTGCATACAGTAATTTGTTATGTAGGTGCTATTACAACGTTTTATTATTATTATTACTATTATGTAATGTTTATTTTTATCATACATTTTGTCGTCTTTCGAGTAAATTAGATGCAATATTGTAGTGAATGCTGAAAATTCCTTGCTGTAACATTAGTACTCTTTTTGGAATAAAGCGAAATTATGATGATGATGCTGATGATTACAGTGCACTCCCCCAGCACTGTTTATTAATTCTGCGTCTCTGTTCAACAAAAATTATATAACTCTTCTCAACCTGTTGAAATTCCTCTTCACAAACACGTAATTTACTTTAAAGTAGTATGCAGCTGAAAAAAAAGTAGCGAAATCACTGACGGCCTCACCTCATTCGGCAAACACGTATTTCATAAAGGGGATTAAGGGGATTACAAGTGAGCGTTTGAATTCACTGCTAAGCTACTTACATGCACTTCTGTCTCATTCATGTTGAACAGTCTTCCTTTTTAATCTTTTTAGATGTGTAATGTAAAGGATTATTTTCCTATAGGACAATAATATTCTATATATTGTCTAATCGAAACAAAATCAGCTAAGCCGTTGGTGATGATGGTTATTGAATGGAATTATATTTCCCTTTCAGACAAAGTAATGCCTCGTTATCTTGACATGCGTCTACTACTATATATACTTACTTCACTAAAATTAATTAATTAATTAATTAATACTGGGCCTCTTTTTATTATTTATAAGGTTTTGAGGAGGCAGATATTTATACTTTAAGTTTTGCTGTTCATGTTGTGTTTATTTTCTGTTGTAAGTTTTGAAGTATATATATATCCGCACAGTGTGGGATTATTTTAGGATAACTGTGCTCTTTTTTCTTGGTTAATTTCATTGTTGATTTCCACACTGCATTTCCGCCTTCAGTTTTTTCTAAAACCATGAAGTTTTTTAAACGGATATATGTATATGACTATTGTAGCCTAGGAGACATAAATATTAAGTGTGTATTTGTTAGGACAGGAATAGATTTGATAACTCATTACAACAGAAAGCAATAAAGCTATTGTATTACACAGGAAACAAACCACTTTTTTCAGTTACATAATAATAATGACAATTTTGTACTGAATGCTAGAAATTTCCTGCTGTATCGTTGGTACTGTTTTTGGAATTAGGCAAATTATCATTATCATTATTACAATACTAGTGATTGTTAAATAATAATGATGATGTGATGTAAACTTAAAATTACTATTAGTGAAAGATTATTGGTTATCAATAATTAATGTAGTAAAGTGAAAAGAACAGGATTTGTAAATATGATATAAACTTAGAACAAGTTGGAAAAGCCTTACTTAAACCGAAGGCGATAGGAATAATGAAGTTGGAAAAGGTCACAGATGAACGTCTGCCGATGAAACAAACGAAAAGAAGAGAATAATTGCGATAGGAATTAAAAATGCCAATGTTTATGGCGGATTTGTTGTTGTGATAATGATAATGATAATTTGCCTAATTCCAAAAACAGTACTAATGATACAGCAAGGAATTTTCAGCATTTCAGTACAATATTGCATCTAATTCACTCAAAAGACGACAAAAAGTATGATAAAAATAAACATTACATAATAGTAATAATAATAATAAAACGTTGTAATAGCACCTACATAACAAATTACTGTATGCAGTACGGAGAAAAATATGCATCAAGTATAAAATTGTAGTAATAAAAGTAATAACATCCAAAATAAAATAGCAGAGTAATCATTAAACGATAGAAAGTGTGTGTGACACCATAAAATTACAGAAAGATGAAGGAACGATGAAAGGGTCGATTCACCTTGTTAATTACATAGTAACCTCTGTGTTTCACGTCTAACAGAGTCTTCATCACATAAAATAGGGGCTAAATAGGGTATTGTGGAATTTCTGTACTCAGTGGTACGAGCATATAACTTTTTGTATTGACTTCTCGTTCTACCTGTTGAGATACAAGGGGATAGTTGTGAATAAAGGGGGTCGGTGTAGAGGGTCTGACAGTACGGCCTTTGCTCATTTTGTACAGGAATTTATGTGTCTCTCGACTGAAATATTGGTGAGCTCACGCAGTGTCAGACCACAAGCCCTACTCACAGCATTTAATAATCTTTGTAATATAATATAGTCCTTTTTGAAAAGCTCAGGAAAGATTAATGGAGAGCAATAGACTACAATAGGTAAAATACAGGAGTTTAAAAATTGCGAAACTAAAGGTTGGTTGATACCTGATTGTCTTGACTTTTTAATGTAGAAGGTGAGACGAAACATTTTCTTAGAGATAGATAAGATTTGTGATAACCATGAAGACAGTTACCAGTGGTCATGTTGTCATAAATTGGTAGATGTTGGAATTTATTGGCTGACGGTTGGGTTGGATTGCAGTGAATTAATTGTCTATGTGCTCGCCGTGTAACCAGACGGTTCTGGCTTCGAACCATGGTGGTAGGTGCTTATTGTGAAGGAGTCTCTAACTAAGATTTAACTGCTGTCCACTACTCACAGGTTTTCCAGTGGTTCTTATGAGGAATTTTTGGATTATAAGAAATCGATATACTTTGTAAAATAGAGCTTATTCTTAAGAAAATGTAGATTATATTTCATGCAGTAAACTAAACCTAACTGACAAATTCATGGAAGACCAACTTCAACTATTAAATTTTAGTAGTAATTCATGTATTGATAGATTCACCGAAAATCGTAATAATCAGTTCTATCTGTGAAGCTTTAATTGCCTTTCTAAGAAGCGTATTTATATTTCACAAGATTGTTTAGTAGCACAATGAAGGCCTTATCACTATACCATCTTGTTGAAAGGACACAATGACATCAAAAATCATTTATTTGATTTATAAATCTTCACTATTTTACATTTTTATCAAATACCATTTTACATTTTAAAGTTATCTATTCATACTACCTGATATGGTTTCTACAAACTTTTTTATTCTTACATTAGTTACCTCCATCATCTCCGTCTTCAGTTGCTATTCAACCAAATCAAGGAGAAACTCATAAGGTAGGCGAGTAGAAAATATTCAGTATTTATATCTGTCTTTGTTTTTCTGTCATAAAATTTGCTACTGTCTTTATTTTCCCACTACCATTCTTGTGGTTTTATCTACAGGCAGGACTGTCTCAATCACTTCCATTTATCATTTCTAAAATTTGTTACATTTTGCATGAACAAATAAAGAACAATCCTACTGGCAGGATAATACGAATCCATTTTCCTTCGTGGATTCTCTTCAACTGCGTACATCTTGAATATATCAGTCGTTACAATACTCAAGTTCAGGTGGCCAGAAAAGATTACCAATAAGGAGGGATCTCTGGGAACAAGCGAACCGAGAACCAGCTGTGCAACAAATATGCAGGAAGAAATTAAAAGTTGGATTTGACATACTTTGAGATAACTATCAAGTGACATCACACACCAGTCTCTCTTTCGAGTGGATGCTGAATGGGGAAGCGGCGAGTTTTTCGTCAGTGCGACGGTGACCTGAAGGAGTTTAGGTGGGCAGACGTGGAACCAGGTGAAAGCGTTTGCAGAGAGCCGAGTGCAGTGAAGACGTGAAACTGAAGCCCTATGTTCCTTTAGGAATTACAGGATACAAAAATACAATAATAAAATAATCCCAAATTTTTTGGACATACCTTTTACTTTGATTTTAAGTTTACATAGGGAGTATAAGCAACAATATTTGAAAAATGACGTATGCAGACAATTATTTAGTGTTAAAAGAGTAAGGTTTTAGATATGATGAAGAAGAGTTGTAGCTCAGCTTAGTTGTGTTTTCTTTGTTGATTGGCTTATTTGCGAAGCTTTCATCGCCCTACTAGGCAACATCTTCAACTCATACTTCATTTTGAAGTGATCTTCCGGATTTCTCCTGGTCACCAGGAAAGATGATTAATAAACTCGTGGAGGAATCTAAACGCTCACTTCAAACTGAAGTAAGCGCTGAAGACATTGCCTAGTAGGGTAGTGAAAGCTTCTCGAGTAACTATTTATATAGTAATTAGACAAATGAGTGGAGTTCAAATTTCTCTTGAAAATAAGGATAGAGTAAATACAATATGCAAGATAGAACAACAGGGTTAATTTATGCATATTATGGTGGGGATTTCAATAGAATGGGGGGAGGGTGAACAGTGAAGTTAAATAATAAAATAGATAAAATAATATAATTTAGTAGATTTGTTACCACAATAGTGAGTTCAACTCAGTACATGAGATCCAAAATCAAGATTGAGTGGAATTCTATGCAACGAGACAAAATATAAAAGCACACGAACAAAACAGTTATGGTTACGAGGTAGGGATGTAAGAGACTAGTCACACACTCTCTCTCCCTGTATGCATAGGGTGAGTCGTAGTCTTTTGATGGCACTTGCTCCTGTGAATCGAAGTAACAGTCCTCTTTTAACAGTGAACAATTGCCTACTCACATAATCTTTCAAATTATGTTGCTTTTACTCTCTCACCATGTATAACTTGAAATCATAATAAAAAGGGTGTTCAGAAATTTTGAAGTATGTAACAATTGATTTATTCAGGATGTACGCAGTTGAAGCAAATTCAAGAAGTTAAAAGGAGTTCCTATTATCCTTTTTATATGTTCATTCTCTCTTTATTGAAAGTAATAAAGGAAACTGGCTGGATGACCTTAAAGCGTGAAGGGGAATATAAATATTGTCTGCAACTCATACATCATGGCACTACACAATTCCATATTACTTCGTCTATTGGATATATTATGTATATATATATATATATATATATATATATATATATATATTACATTTGTAACTTGGAGGATCTGGACTTCGCCGATGATATGTATCTGATTTCTCACAAACTGGAAGATATGCAAGTGAAAAGCATCAAGTTGAGAAAAGAAGCATCCACAGAACATAGGACTTCCTTCAGGTGAACATAGAGAAAACAGAGGTGATAAAGATCCCTGGCCAACACCAACAGCGATAGGAACAACAGACAACAATCAGCCAGCATAAATGGGAGGAACCTGAAAGAAACAACCTCCTTCATCTGTCTACCTGGGAAGCATCGTTTCAACTACAGGCGGACGGAGCTGACGAGGATATCAAAGTAGCGAGAATCGGAAAAGCAAGACAAACTTTCATTACTCTCAAGTCTGTGTGGAGGTCAACAGCACACAGCATCAAAAAAAGAGCCAGATTTCCAACACCAGTGTGAAGCCAGTGCAACTATACGGATCAGAGACTTGGCACGTCATAAAGAGAACCTCAGACAAACTACGGACCTTCAACAATAGCTGTCCTCGCTCAATACTTCGCTCACGATCAGATGGCCGGCCAGAGAAGATCAGCAACCGAGATCTCTCGGAGCGAATCAGCCCAGCAGGAACCAATTGTGCAACAAATAGGCAGGAAGAAATGAAGATGGATTGGGCATACGCTGAGGAAACAAACCATCAAGTGACATCACTAGACAAGCCATTGTTCGAGTGTAACCCGAATGGTAAGCAGCGAGTTGGTCGTCCAAGGGTGATTTGGAGGGGGTCATGTGAAGAGGAGATGAAAACATGTGGGCAGACTTGGAGTGGAGTGAAAACTCTAACACAGAACCGAACGCAATAAAGACACGCGGCTAAAGCCCTATGTTCCTCCAGGAATTAAAGGAAATAATAATATAATAATATTATATATTATAAACAATGGGTGGATGGTGGCTAGCAGTGGAATCCAGGATGCGCATTCCGTCCTATTTGGGACTCGTCAGCTGGATGTACCTGCATTTCCCAGTGAGTGATGATGTTCCCACCGAGGCTCAAACCCAGTACCCATAGTTTCAAACGCCAAAGCGTTATCCACTAGACCACTTAGACCACGAGAGCCACCTCTTGTGCAACGGATCACATTAATTACTGAATTGAATTTTTGATTTTCCCGTTGACATGTCGGCTTCTTGTGCAGATGCTTCGGCGATGTCTGTGCTTCGTGGAGCACTTCAGTCCAATCAATCGACGGGAAAATCAAAAATTCAATTAAATAATTATATATTATAGTCTACAGAACAGAGTATTTTAGTTTAAGTAATGGCATTAATTCAGTGTAATGTCAGCTGGATAATTAAAACAGAGAAATTTAGCGGACTCTACAACAGTGGAACCTACTACTCGGGAAACACAGAAAGATGAACAGTTGTAGCATATCTTGAAAAAAATAATGACTTCCATTGAGTAAAAGCATCAGTACTCATGCCTTCTGAGTTTGTGTCCGTCTCGTTACACATTTTAATGAAGCAAAACTAACTACCTTGAGAATTGACAGAAGTTAGAATTCACGAACCACAGGACATTGGCTCTGTAGCTAAATGTTAGCATAATCGCATCCGAAAGATGAAGGTCCTTCAGCCAGATTTTGTTCTCTTAGAAGCCAAAGAAGTAATAATAATGCAAACAAACCGATGTTTTCAAATCTGAGGCAAAGATATTCTCGTAACTCCTTTATTTTGAATGTTGAGGAGGATTCATTGATGCATTATATGCACTGACTGTCCATTGATAGAATAGTATTATTATTATTGCTCCCTTGGGCTCCTAGTGGAACATAACGCTTCAACTGCACGTCTCCACTTCCTTCTGTCTTCCTTCTGCTGTACTTTTCACCCGCATCCATATTAGTCCATACTCTTTCAACTCCTCTTCACACGATCTCCTCCATGTCACCCTTGCACTGACGTTCCACTCGCCGCGTACTTCCCATTGGGGTTCCACTCGAGCGATTGCCTGATGCGCGCGAGATGTCACCCAGAAGCCTGCCTCCTCAGCGAGCGAGTGTCCAATCCATCTCCTTTTTCTCCAGCATATTTGTTGGTTGGCGATTGGTTCTTGTTTTGTTTGTTTGTTCCCAGCCATAGTTTCTTGTTGGTGATTCTTTCCAGCCCAGCCATCTGATCTTCAGTATAGAGCGAAGACAGTTAGTTGTTGATTAAAGTGTGCAACTTTTTGGAAATATTCTTTGTGACCCGCCCGCCAAGTTTCTCATCCGTTCCCTATAGAAGAACTGACTGACTTGACGTTGTTTGCATTGAAAATCCGACTGAATTTTGTTGTTGATGATGGCTGAGTGACGAAGATTTCCAGATTGGTTTCAGATTGATGAATGAATGAGTTTCTCGCCTTCCCGATTCTTGCTCGACTTGATATCCTCGTCCGTTCCGATTGGCTGTAGTTGAGACAATGCTCCCTAGATAAGATAAGTGAATGAGGAAACCTCTTTCGAATCCCTCCCGTTGATGGTGATTGACGTTGGATGTTGTTGCTGTTGTTGGTTGGTTATTTTCATAACCTCCGTCTTGTCTATGTTCACCTGGAGTCCTGTCTTCACTGGCTGCTTCTCCGACCAGTTTGTGGGTTTTCGCTTGTAAGTCTTCGATTTTGTGTGACATCAAACATAAATCATCCACGCATGAAATCCAGGTCTTGTAGGTTCTTCACGTCGGTCGGTGCAGGATATCCCTGTCCCGTTTCTCGTTTCCCACTGTCTGACGCATAATCCAGTCAGTCCACCACAATTAGGAATATCATTCATCGGTGATAATAAGCACCCTTGTCTGACTCCTGTGTTTACACCAAACGCCTCGCTGAGTTTTCCGTTGTGGATCACTTGACATGTGCCGTTGTCGTACAGCTGTTGAATAAGGTTGATGAATATTTGGGGTACGCCGTAGTACTCAAGTAGTTTCCAAATTACTTCGCGGTCAACGCTTTAGAAGGCCTTCTCAAAGTCTATAAAGTTGAGGTAGAGGTTTGATCGCCATTTCGTGCTTTGTTGTGTGATGATGATGCGTAGAGTTGCTATTTGGTCAGTACATGATAGCTGCATAGGAATCAGTCAAAAACCTATTGAACAAAAAATATGCAGAAGAAAGGGGAGGTGGATTGGACACACGTTGAGAAGACCGCCGAATAACATCATGCACAACCTATGCTCCCAAATGGCACCCAGATAGGCGACGACAAGGAGAGCATGTGGCTGCGAGTGACATGGAGGAGATCATATGAGGAGATGGGAGCTTATGGGCTATGGAGGAGTCAGATGAAAAGGATTTCAGAAAACAGGATGAAATGGATATCCGCTGGTGGAGCCATGTATTCCACTTGTAACCTAAAGGAATTATAATAATGATTCAACCTATGCACATGAAATTCACATATTCAGTGTTTAATCAAGCTTGAAAATTAATTAATACATTGTAAGTTGTTTGAAACACTGGAGTTTTAAGACCAAAGAATGTTTATTAAATTTCTCCTCTAATTTCATTGGGAACTATACTCTTAAATGCAGCAAATTTATTCAGCTTACGACTGATTTAGTCTTAGTTTAATGAGCATGGGCGGTGTATACTAAATTTGTCTACTAATCCAAAAAGAAAGGCTTTCTCATATTCCGTATTACTGTCTTTTTTTATAGAAATTTGGCAGATAATCAGAGTTTAAATAAATATCATAAATATCAACTTACTTTCTAGGGAGATCCGTCTTGCTCCATTCGTGAGTCATCTGACCAGATTGATTTTGTTTCCGATTGGTACAAAACTGAAGAAATGTGTATATTGTCCTGCAGATGTAGGATTTCTACAGACATCCCTCTTTAGTGAACTATCCTCTCTTCTGCTCAATTAGACATCAAGGAAGTGTAATCCACCATCATGTTCTGTTTCACAAATGAGGATGAGCGATGGATGTGCATCCCTAAATTTTATTAACATCTCATTTTTGTCATCTTTCTCATCAAGTATAATAAACGTATCATCAACATAACGAAAAGAAGAATACATTTTATCAATTACTGGTTTCAATGAACCATTTTTAAGCTTAGCAAGGAATAAATCTGCCAAACATTGGACCCAGAGAAGAACCCATGGCAATATCGTCAATTTGTCTGTAATTAAGGTTGTTAAAATGTGAAGCGTGCACGCTAGTGCATCGTAGAAGCATCTCTTTTAGACTAATTACTGGAATTCCGATGTCCGACTGCTGTTTTACTATTTGTTGGCATATGAATTCCACAGTCTCCACCAGTAGTATATTTGTGAACAGTGATACGACATCTAAAAGTAGAATTCGTTTCCTCTTTACACCGACATCGTATACGTTGGCAATGAATTCAGAGACGTCTCTAAGACTGTAATCCACCACATCCTTATTTTACGGTTGGAGGAGTTCATCTAGACACTTTGCTATTGCATTGTTTGTGGAATTAGACATGTCTAGGACTGCGCGAAGAGGATTATTTGTCCACTTCGCCTTTAGTAATATGTAACTCTTAAGAGTTGATTTAATTTATTTATTTACTGAAATGTCTAAATATACACCTATAGTACTACGTGCATTACTTTTATCACCACATGTCTAAACCTAATTATCATTATTTCCCTATCACTGTAATCATCATTATTACTGACGATCAAAACATTTACCATGTTATCGTTATTTTTTATCAAACGTCATCCGTTAACGTTTTTATCAATCCAGTCCATAGCAAAATGTATCGTGTGAACGAATATCTTCAAAAATAATCAGTAGACATCTACTTTATAAGTCTCTATAAAACGTGTAGTTGCACCTACGGGGATTTTTGTCTACCCTTTGTTGCAACATAACTTTCTTCTTTATAGCGCTGATATCTGTAAAACACAATTTACCTTTAAATAATAAATATTAACCATAAGGTGTAATTAGGCGATGGAATGTCGACAGTTATTTTTTCTACTAAAAAAGATGCGATGATAAAAATTTCACCATGTAACCTTATAAATTCCTGTTTTTACATCAGGTAAAAATATTTAAAAAAAAACTACAAATAAGATCTCCTTCGAGACAGTAGTGCATTTCGACTGCTGAATACCAACTGTCTAGTTGTATTTGAATGTATTTTTTCTTTTAAATGCAGATAAATGTTCACGAATTTAGTATTTTGTCATCTGATTGAAGGTTAATAATTATATTGATACCTTTATTCTTGACAATGTTCAAAAAATGTAGAGAATTCTCAGCAGGACTGTTTGTACTATACTCTTTCTTCATGGGTTATCTTCATGTAATTATTGACAATAGATCGCGCGATGTAATGGCAGTTTACCTAAAGTGCAAACCAGTACCTTAGGATATTTCTCTCTTGTCTCCTCCGAGAAATGCCCAACGTTCGGTTAAAAGCCAATTAAAAAACTTCACTAATACATTTTCGATCCGAAAGGATAAGTGAATGGATAAAGACTTCAGGTAGTTAATGTTATTTTTCCAACAGTGACAGGTTTTTTACTCAGGGGGTGAGGAACAGTCATCCTACGTACTGGTATATTTTGACTCCAAAGATTATGATTTGCCTGACCTCCTTCCGAATCAGCAGGCTTTAAACAATTTAAATACTTGCTAGTGTAAATAATACTTTTTGTCAGATTGGTTAGCAGATTTCATCATGAGCTGACATTAGTTACAGAACCATTGAAAAACCTGGGAGTTTTAGGCGGCTATTTCGTCCTAGTTTGGGACTCTTCATCGGTGCACACCCACCCGGGCTTGATCTCAGGAGCTCTTATCAGTTTAAACATCGTGAAGACGAGAAATAATGATGATATCTGGGGAATACTCACCAACCGTATACGTGAACGACGCATTCCGTTTACCTCTGTCAGCCGGTAATAAGCCCGGTAAATAGAAAAGGTTAGGTGCGAAGCTAGCAACTTCATCCCGTAGAAAAAAACGTCTCCGCTATTGACTCTTCGGAGCTCTAGCTTGAAACTCCTTGTTTCACTCCGGAGGAAAAGGAATGAATTGAATAATAACAAATAATGATATAAGGTTTCTGATAGTCCAGCTTTTTAAGCAAGCCGTCTTTACGAACTCAGCAAATAACTAGCTGTGACAACAGTAGGATACATATTTATAGGCGTAATAATTACCTAAATGTGTTTTCCTTATATTCATTTGATAATACTAAGTAACGAAAAATGTCAGTCTTTCCAAAAATGTGATAACTAAAGGAATGCATTCCTCCAGACAAAATAATATGAAGATGTAATTTATCTTAAAGGTGTAATATATTTTCGTAACGCATTTTGGACTTTCTGATCACACAAATAATTGTATCTGTGATCTTAACCCATAAACGTTTTGACCAGTTATATTCTATTCTTTGTGTGATAATTACGCGCATAAACAGGACCTCTGATATCACACACTTCAGACTCATTAAATGTTCTTATTGTTACATTTTGTGTAGTTCACAATGCACAACTATTCATTTCTAAACAGTAGCTTATAGTGATGAGGCTATTTATGTAAAAAATATAGATTGTATGTTTTGTATTTAGACTGTATTGGAGAGACAATTCCCTTCATTGTATAACACTCTGATGTCATGTGTATTCCATGTGCATTCTCCCTAACTGTCATTGAAATGGGTAAAGCAAACGTTAATTGGTGCGTCGGTGGCATAGCGGCTAGGACGCTCGCCGACCATGCACATAGTCCGGGGTTCGATCCCCGGCCGACGCACTCCTTTACCTCGCTAAGCCGAAAATAATGCTGGTAAAGAGGAAAGGTTGGGCATGAGGCTAGCAACCTCATCCTGTAAAATAAACACTGCTAGAGAAACTTCAAACCACTAGCTTGTGGCCCTGTATTCCACTGGGGAACGTGAAGAAAAAATTATTATTATTATTAAACGTTAATTAATTTTATGGTATGAACCCTATTGTTATTAAGTTTGTAAGGCAAAGTAGATTTTAAATCAGGGAAGTATGCAGTCTTCTGTTATTTACACTGACCATCTGTTACAAATGGGTGTTGGTGGTGCAGTGGTTAAATGCTCGTCGATCATGCATATGGTCTTGGCTTTAATCCCTTACCAGTGCACGACTAAAACATTTTGCTTAGTTTGTAATAAGCCTATCACATAGGGAAGGTTGAGCATGAGACTAGCAAACCCACCCTGTAAAAATAAAAACAGTACCACTGAAATTTCTAAGCTCATGCCTGATTCCCTATATGTCATTTGGGATGTAAAGGAATAAAAAGAAATACATAATAGTCTTCAAGTATCGGTTTGTAGGGGTTAGTTTGAATGGTTACAGGATTTCATCATGAGCAGACATTGGTTAGAGAACCATTGGAAAACCAGCTGGGAGTACTGGAGAGCTGTTTCATCCTAGTTTGGGACTCTTCAGTAGTACGCACCCACAGGCATGGTTTGAACCCAGGACCAAACTAAGACGAAACTGGTGTCCAGTACTTCCAGGCTTCCCGATGGTTGTCTAACCAATGTCATGACGAAACCAACGTCAGCTCATGATGAAACCCTGTAACATAATAATCTGTTACAAATGTTCTCTCAATGTGAGATAATTCCTGATTGTTGGCTGACATGAGATTTTGATGCACATTAATCTGTTACATTTTGTTTCTATTCCTTTTAGCCCTATGGAGTTACTTATGAATTGACGGCATTCGTCGGCAAAAAAATTGATGACAACCAACCAACATGGTGAGTTAAGATATAAGTTGTTTATTATTTTCGAAGCTTAGATTCTACAATCGAATGACTTAATAAAATAAATAAAAATAAGCTATCGATTTCATTTAACAGCTTTTCAGTAATACCTAATAGCAAAATTTAAATTCACTGTCGCCATGTTGACCAAGTTGCTTAAGAAATATGCAGAAGAAAGTGGAGAAGGATAAGAGACACTCTGAGAAGATCATTGAGACATACCCTAGAGTTCAACCTGAATGGAAAACGACGAGTTGTGTTCGCGTTGGTTGGTGACATAGAGGCTATTGCGTAAAGAAGAGATGAGAGTTTATGGAAGGTCATAAAGCCAGGTAAATAGGACTTCGGAGAACATGATGTAATTTTAATGTCCTGTGGAAACCTCTAAACCCAAACAATGATGATCAGGACGCTGTATCTACTTGTCGACACCATTTATTTTCACAGATTGGACATTAAAGTCCATAGATGATATAACAGCTGTCTTTGCCGGTTCCATACTGATGATCAAATCGCCAATTGGCCGGCTAGAAAGAATTAGCAACAAGAAACTCTGCCTGCCAACAAACCAACCAAGAGCCGACTTCTCAATAAATAGGAAGGAGGAAATGGAAATGGATAGGGCATATGTTGAGGAAACCGTCGAATGACATCACGCTAAATGCAGGCCATCTCTCGGGTGAAATCCCGATGAGAAGCAACGAGGGGATCGTCGGTGCGAGGGTGACATGGAGAAGACTATGTGAGTTGGAGCCTGAGATGACAGATTATGAGCAATCGTGTGGCTAGCCAGCTGAAGAGGACAACAGAGAACAGAAGAGAGTGGAGGTGTGCTGTTGGAGATTTATGTTCGACTCGGAACGCAAGGGACTAATAATAAAATACTTTCAGTAGTAGAAAAGATTTGTAGCTCAGGTGGATGATTTGCAATTAATAGTGTTCTCTGAGCTGATTGGTTTAGTTGTGGAGCTTTCGTCGTCCTCCTTCTGGACAACATCTTCCTTCAGCGAAATATTTAGCATAAAGTGAAATGATTTTAATTTCTTCATGAGTGATATAACTGCATCTCCCGATAACCATCTTTACATATGTATTGACTGTTTTCTATTGATTTGGATTTTAAACTTTCTGGTCACTTGATTTACTTTTTATTAGTCGGTATATTTCGTATATATTAAAGTGTTTATTAATTGCATTTTCGTTTGAGTACCAGGCTTCTGGGAATTCCCTGACTGCACTTTTGGTGTTTCCTCTGTCCAAGATTTTGACATTATCCCAATCAAACTCACGTCCATAATTGTCTGTATGCATTGAAACTAAAGAATTTATATCATGTCTTTTCACGGCTAATTTGTGTTCCTGAATTCTTATTCGAAGGGGACGCCCACTTTGACCGATGCAATCCGTGTTGCAGTTCATACAATTTATTTTGTAAATGGTGTTAATTTTATCTCCTTTTTCTGTTGGATCTTTCGGTTTGCATAAGATCGAATTAAGCGATTCGACTGGTTTGTGTGCTACATCTATATCAAACGGTTTCATTATTCTAGCCGTTATTTCAGAGATATTTCTCATGTATGGTAGGATGAATTTCTTTTTGGTCTTTCGTGATGGTTCTTTGTTGGTGCTTTGACTCGACTTTAAACACTTTTTGATGAAATTGTGTGGATAACCATTCTTCTTGAAGACTGTTTTTAGGCATTTTTCTTCCATTCTTTTCAATTCTGGAGTGCTACAATATGTTTGAACCCTTTGAAACAATGTCTACACACAGTTTTTTTGTGAGTAATTGGATTACTGCTAGTATAGTTGAGTATTTGATCTGCGTGCGTTGATGTTCTATATACTTGTGTTTTTAAATTTCCTCTGTTCGTTCTCTTGATTAAAACATCTAAAAATGGGATTTTATTATCTAATTCTTCTTTTTCTCTTCTTTTTACGGTTCATACTTTCGGTAACAGTTATGATGGTTGATACTTTCATTTCTGTGATATATTTATATCCGAAAATCCCAGTTAGTGATCTTCTGTATAGCGTACGCAGACTAATTACATTTGATACAAAAAGAGTTTCACTTATTCCCCGAAGCGCTTACGGAAAATATGAAGTGAAGTTCTACATTACTAAAGATTCTCATATATGATGCACACAGTACTGATGATTGGGTGGCGTTTCAAGCACACGTTATTGCTCGTAATCGCATCAGTGTTGTTCAACAATTCACTTCAGATAGAAGTCGTAAATCCCGCTAATTTCAGAAATGTTTCCAGTAGCTTTTCCACAATGAATAGTGATTAACGTCTTATTGTTAATTAGCGATCTAAAGAAAGTGACACTGTGACCGCAGATGTTTACATAAAAAAAGTAGCCAGCATATCGATTAAAACAAAAAGTACATAGATAATTGTAGTTCACTAAAATTTGTTTACAAACTTTATGATTTTTTGAAGATTTGCAAGGCGACAGTATTAGCTGGAAGTGGTCTAGTCTGCTTCAGTTTAAATAAACGCGCCACGTTTGTTTTCATTTATGCCTTGTTTATAGATACTGTCACTACTCCAAATGTCTCAAAGAGACAAACCCTACAAGCTAATTAATTATTAGTGGTATAGAATGAAAACTAATTTATACAGTCAATATATTTCCTGTTATCATACAGATATAGACTAGTTGTAAGGCGGCTTTCTGAAAAATTCTAAGAAACTGAAATCCCGATGTGAAAATACCATTTCACAGGAAGTTTTAAAATATCATTAGACGAGTCATTTTGTATCATTGTCTGTATTCATCAATATCACGTCTTCACTAAGGCAGCTTTGGTTATATTTAGTATAAACGTCTCCTAGACAGACTGCTCCTTGAAAAGATATCTTCCGTGCCAAAAAAACTATCTTCATTCAGCTAGTATTGAAGGGTGATCAAATCATACAGATGACAACTCAGAGGCTTCGGTTAGTATCATGTCTTTACTTCAGCGGCTTTGTTCATATCCATAATAAACGTTCCCTAGGTAGACTGTTCCTTGGAAAGCCAGCTTCCATAACAAAGAGAACTATTTTCATTCAGCTAATAGTGAAGGGTATTCAAATCATGCAGATGACAAATCGAAGGCTTCGGTCAGCTAGCAAGCTTATATGCTGCACCAAATATCTGGAAAATTTTACAATTCCTGCATTTACGATTAAAGGACGGAATCTTATGAACTCTACTATATGCTGTATCTACAAGTTCACTTAAAGTTGAGATTGCACGTATATAAGTAGAGGCAATAAAGTATTGCAATGACTTCGGTGGAAAGAACATGTTCGTAAATGGTTTTTAAGCCACATGAAAAAACCCACGTAAACTTAGTCTGAGTGGAAATCCTTTCTTATTCACTACAAAGCAAATAACAATGTCAGGTTACACAATTATTATTAGAGACTGCCTCTCGTTTATTTCACATTACTCTAATTGAAGGTTATTAAAGGTGATTGAAGTACTTTGGATCAGTTGCATGTATTTCAAACTATGTGTACAGAAGTATAGGTTTACAGTCCGTAGGTGTTGCGAACTTCCTGGAATAATTTGACCGTTGAGTCAGATTCATTCATTATAAATTATTTAAATTAATCCCAGCGTGTTAAGTAAATCAAAACGAGATTTTTCTGAACGTTTCCCCGTGTAAGCCACAGCTTGTTTAGCAGATTTATTCGGATTTTTATTAATCAATAAAGTATATAGTGTGTATATATGTGTACAGAAAATGATAGACTTCAACAATTTGTGTATTCTAAAAACTAACATGAACAAATGGAAAGAGAGACTTATAACAGAATCGATATTGATTAAGGTCACACCGGATACATGTAACAAGGGTGACTCAGTACAACTATCAACAACTTGGAATATAATTCTGAACACAAAAACATGAATGAGCAAAAAAAATAATGAACTATATATATGAGTACAAATCATAAATGTGTGAATAAAATAATTCCAACAGTGGTGTGAACACGGGCAGTAATTTTGCTCGAAATATCACCAATAACAAAACTTATCATTAGTATACAATTGGTGGATGGTGGCTAGCAGTGGAATTCAGGATGCGAATTTCGTCCTATTTGGGACTCGCCAAATGGATGTACCTGCATTTCCCAGTGAGTGATGATGTTCCCACCGAGGCTCGGACCCAGTGCACATAGTTTCAAACGCCAAAGCGTTATCCACTAGACCACTTAGGCCACGAGAGCCACCTCTTGTGCGACGGGTCATATTAATTATTGAATTGAATTTGTTTGATTTTCCCTTCGATTGATTGGACCGAAGTGCTCGTTCTCAGGTTGACATGTCGGACGAAACGCGCATCCTGCTTTCCACTGCTAGCCACCATCCACCAGTTGTATACTTATTAAATGCCCAGACATCGTCGAAGCATCTGCTCAAGAAGCTGACATGTCAACCTGAGACCGAGCACTTCGGTCCAATCAATCGACGGGAAAATCAAAAATTCAATTCAAAACTTATCATTGTGTGTAAAAACTATTGACATATAATTATACTTTATTTGATTTCAACCTTCTCCCACCATGGACTACTTGACCTATTAAAATATGATTGGTTATTAGAATGTGCTTTTGTTTGATGCAACATAGCGATTATTCATGGCATATTTTATTATTCTAGACCATAGCAGTTGTAAAGCGATGGTTAGGATACTGCAAAATGAGATCATCTCGTGATATCTACATTCTTAGGGCCTTAAAGTAGCACTCAGAACTCCTTCTTCACCAAACACAGGGATATCTAACAGTTACCGAATATGAGACGAAATCAAGTGAGACATTTATATTATCTGTATGACAACTATTCTCATATAGTAGAGGTTAAATGAGAGGTAATCAGGTGATATGTAGTTAACGCAGATAATATGTACATGAAACTCAGCAAATCTACTATATCTCCAAGATTAGTTTTATTTCCGTTCTGATAATTATTCATTTGTTTATTTGTCTACTCTTTTTTCACTTCAGTTCAACAGTCACCATTGTTGTGAGGAAGCTTATTGCTGGACCCAAACTGCCAAATCGTCCAATACATCCTGTTGTTGAGTCAATAAAGAAAACTATTAGTCTGGCTTGTTATTCTGGAGAATTGCATATTAAAGCTTCTATAGAAAAACCGGTAATTCTATGCCATATGATGTTAGTTATTTTTATTTTTGTATTTTTAACAGTCGACATATGAACTAATGGATTTTAACATCTCTTCATAAAACGGTAATCAAAATTCTGTCTGTCTGTTTTCGACATAGAACTTTGCACAAATGTGCGGCAGTTTAGGTCGCCACACTCCGTGTAGCACGCGAAGCAAGAGAAGAAAGTACAAGAAAAGCATAATAGAGACAGTAAGCAGAGGTGTGAGACAAAGGAGGAGTTATAGCGAAGAACAAAACAGTTTCATTGGAGATCATAAGTCACATGGAGTGGATGCATTTGCGCCACTGAGAACGATTTTGAGCCATGTCACCAATTGTTTCCAACCATAGATTTTTACCGTCCCGAGGACCCCAGCCTGGAAGTCTACACCTTCCTACGTGGCTTAGACCAACTGTTGTGGATTTCATTGACTGGTGCCAAGTTTTTGTTTGACCGCCGCTAGCTTTTTTCCAGTCTGACCCTATATCCGCTAACAGTGCTCGTCGAGGGAGGCGATGGCTTGGCATACGTGACACATGTCCTAACCATCTCAGTCTTCACGACTTCGTCGATTGATTTCCCCTGTTTACCTAGAACTCTACGCCTAACTTCAGTGTTGCTCACCTTCATACTTCACACAGGAAATAGAGCGCAGGCACCTATGATCAAAGATAGATAGACTTTTCATGTCTTCCACTCTGAGTGGCCAGGTCTCACAGCCACAAAGGAGGATGGAGCGGACTGATGAGCAGTACACCCGCCCTTTGGTCAATAGTCGAACATCTCGTCTACGCCAGAGTCGGGGTAAACTGGCAAATGAGAAACGAGCCCCCTGTATTCGTGCTGAGATTTCGTCAGAGATCAACCCGTTGGGGCTAATGGTACCTCCTAAATAAGTGAAGCGGTCAACGTGCTGTACCACTTCACTTCCTATTTTTAAACTAGGTGTCGATGTAGTCCAGTCCTGCAACATCATCTTGCATTTGGCGGGGGCGAGTCGCATGCCAAACATTCGGAGATTGCGGCTCAAGGTGTCTAGAAAGCTCTGCATTTCGTCAGCGTCTTCGCCTAGAAGGGCTATATCGTCTGCATATTTCAAGTCAACGAGAGTATTCCCTGGTAGCAAGTCAGTCCCTGAGTCGCTGAAGTCACTTACTGGAGTTACTTAAAGTAGAAAAGAAACTGGTTTGAAATATACGCCTACAGTGCTTTAATGAATGTCCCTTGATGGTAATAATGATCGAATACAAAAGTAAATATGTTAAGTACTAAACAAAATCAACGTAGACTCAGTTTTAGACCAGTTTTATGCAGAAAAATCATTGAAAATGGAATCTAGCGTAAACTGAAGCAAGTCAGCTGTTTAGTATAAATCTGGTGAGTGCTTGAGTTATAATGCATTAATCGAAAAACTTTGTATCCTAGAAGTAGTTGAAGTCTGCCGAATATGAGTTAAGTAATACGAAGCAGAACACATTCTATCATACTGTTAGCGTATAGAGAAAACGGGACATAGGCAACCAGGAAAATAACTGTCATATTTTATTCCGTGAAACTGTGTTTCACATAAATGTTATGAAATCTAAGGTGTTCAGACAGAATTTAGTAGCCAAAAGATTACAATGCCATAAATTATTTCCTTTAATTCTTAGAGGAACATAGGGATTCAGCTGCGCACCTCCATTGCCTCCGGTTTTCTGCTACAGTTTTCACCTGGCTCTAAGTCTGCCTACATGCTTTCATCTCCTCTTCACATGACCTCCCCAAAGTCACCCTTGCACTGACAATCAACTCGCCGCTTCCCTTTCGGGTTCCACTCGAGCAATGGCTTGTCTAGTGATGTCACTTGATGGTTTCCTCAGAGTATGGCCAGCTAATCCATCTCCATTTCTACCTGCCTATTTGTTTCACAATCGGTTCCTGGTTGGTTCACGTCACTGCTATACAGCGTCATGTGAATTTTAAATTCTACTCATTGTTAAACCTAGTTTGAAACTGAAGGTAACTGTATCCTTAGGTAGTGAGTTGGGGGTCCAAAAGTAGCCAAGTAGAAGTTTCGGGTTGAATTCCCCACCAACGCACCCCTGAACTTAGACTAGCCAGTAGAAAGATAGGAAACGACTCTGATTTTGCCAAACAAGAAAGCATCTATACGATAAATCCTTAATGAAACAATGAAGCTCTAAGCTATGCGACAAAAGTAAAACGTTTAAGTACAAATTAAATTAGAAACTGTTCAGTAAAGCAGGTGCAGCATATAAAATCATTTCACTTATGAATTTCAAAGTTCAAGGATGGAACTCTGTGAGACAGATTAGGCATAAAAAGTCGATGTGACAAGTTAACGAAGGTTGATCAAGAAACTATCTATTTTGCAATTTAGTACAAATAGCCGAACAACATTAACTTGGAAGAGACAACGAAAAATTGATCCACTTTTCAGAAGTCAGAAAAGTCGTATATGCCGAGAAAAGCCGAATCAGAAGGTTTGGAGTCAATCTATATTGCAAAATATTTACTACAAACTTTGTGAAGAATTTATTGAAATCGTTTCTACTCTCACCAATACCATTATTGATAGTTCACTTACTATACTCCAAAGCTAAGATGACAATAAAACCACTGATAGATTAAGAGTCTTCATGTCGATTAATTTGTCGGTAGATAACTGCAGCTACACATCAGAAGCTTTCAAAAAATTTAACTTCATATGTCAGGCGTTCACAACGAGGAAAGGTATTAGCAGTTGCATTTTCCTTTCACATGAATATCAGACTTAAGCAGAAATATTTTGAGCACAACTAAAGGCAGCTGGCATGATATCCTGGAATTAGGACTCAAGTGACTAGCAATTACATATATATATATATATATATATATATATATATTGTCTCTGTAACCTTAAATTAATTTTCATACCTTCAGAGATTTCAACATGCATCAAACGTAAGCATAGTCACAAACATTGATAGTGAGTTTTCGGAGCCATTAGTGATCTCCTGAATAGAATGTATGGAGTAACTAATTTCATGATATATAATCCTCCTTGTTGACTGAACTGTATCATCGAGTTCACAACGTGTTCACCGAACTACTTAAATCACCACTGAAGTACACTTTCTCTTGATGCCAAGTGGAAGAAGGCAAACACAGGAAAAGGTTTCTCTTAGGCGAGCTAAGCTTCCACTCTGAAGTTTTGTTATTTTTTTAATAGAAATATATTCATCCTACAAATAAAGTACTCAATAAAACCTTTTTCGTAGGCTATCGTCGATGGATAAATTTCAGAATAACAGGTGCAAATTATCAAATTTATATTTTGTACTAATTAGCTAACAGCATAATTATTCAAAAGTGATTTTATCCACTGGGAAATTGATGTAAATAAAATAAAACCAATTTGCCTGATTGCGTACTTTCACCAGAATTTTACTAACTGATAAGATGAATGTAATGTCGAAATTTACACAGTTTTTGATCATTCGACTAACCAACATTGTCAGAAATAGTGGATTTAATTGGTGGATGGCGACTAGCAGTGGAATATAGGATGCGCACTTCGTCCTATTCGGGCTTCGCCAACTGGATGTACCTGCATTTCCCAATAGGTGAGTGATGATGTTCCCACCTGGGCTCGAACCCAGTGCCCATAATTTCAAACGCCAAAGCGTTATCCACTAGACCACCAGTCACCATCCACCAATTAAATACTAATTAAATGCCCAGACATCGTCGAATCATCTGCTCAAGAAGCCGACATGTCAACCTGATACCAAGCACTTCGATCCAGTCAGTCGACAGGAAAATCTTAAATTCAATTAAAGAAATAGTGAATGTTTAACGGAATGTTAGCTCTGATACGAAGTCGAAATGTGGACAAAGTTTAGCTATATTGACTGCATTAACTGTCATCTGCCTAGGTTACATCTTTATGTTTTGATATTCATAGAGGTATTTCAATGCAAACATTCGATGGAATTAGCAAAACTTTCTAAGGGTTTTTACACTTATTTTTCTCTAAAGAACATCACTCTGAAATCATTACAGAGACCTACCGCACTTAGCGTCATAAAGAATAAAATTTGAATTTTCAAGACAAATCGTAAGTCACTCATTTCTACTAGAATGCTTGGCGAACGCCTCACGAAAGTGATTCCCAACAGGCTGCTGCACACCTTTATCAACAGATCCCTTTGCTCCATATTTAAGATCAGATGCCAAGATAGAAAGAATTAGTCAGAAGAAGTAATGGGTATCAACAGGTATGTGCCGCAAGAAGATGGAGATGGATTAGTCACCTACAAAGGAGGCCGTTGAATGACGTCGCGCTCAATACAAACTCTCTAATGGAACCCGAATGGGAAATATCGAGTTGAGCGTGAGTCTGTGAGTGATACTGAGGAGATCAGAGCATATGAGCGATCGCCTAAACAGGTTATGGCAGAGTGGAGAAAACAGGACAAAATGGAAATGTATTGCCGAAGCCCTGTATTCCACTTAGAAACCAAGGGAGTAATAATAGTAATGGTTTTTTTCCTTCAAAACGTCTGCTGAAATATCGTAGGTTTTGCTGGTATCTGTATGTCTTCCATAAGGTAAATTAACACAACATAAAGTATGGCATATATGTGATTACTTTCAACATCCTTCATGCCTGTTTATAATTAAATTTGTTAAAAGTGAAACGTCAAAAACCAACATTCATTCATTCCTTTTTACTTCTTAGTCATGTGAAGCATAAATAGTCTTTAAAAATATATTTGGTTTGTTTTTGGTTTCCACCTGAACATATGTTTCAAACCTTTTTTTTTCTTGAAATCTTAGCTTGATGAAAGTTTCAATACATTCAGTGTGTCTGGTATTTTGTAATTTAAGTTAATATTCTTAAGATGCAACTTTGGTTAAACAATTGTTGTACAAAAGACGGAGTTGAAACTGCTTTTCATAACCAAACGTTTCTCATTGCGTGCAAACAAAGTGCAAAAC